CCACATTGAATGGTCACCATTCAGCCCCGATGTGTTTTTGAGCTGCTCCCGTGACGAGACTGTCCAGATGTGGAAGCAGGGCCGCCCTGTGATGACGTTCAAGTCCATTCACCAAGGCCCCGTGTTCTTTGTTAAGTGGTCCCCAAACTGCTCCACGTTGTTTGGAGTAGTTAAGGAAGACCAGGTGGAGCTCTGGGACCTGATTTTGAGCATGTGAGTCCATCGGATTGAGATCTCAGTCTGCTTTGAGGTTTTTTTAATTTACCTATTGTTTTCACCTGATTTGAAGTGTAAGTCAGAGATATGTGTTCACTAAAAGCATAAACATTTCTTTGCAGCCTGTTTCCAACCATTGTGCACCATGCTGAGCCTGGTGTGAGGCTGACATCCTTGCTGTTTGCCAGAGGGACAGACTGTGTCCTTGTAGGGGACAGTAAAGGTCAAGTGACAGTCTACAAGCTCAGGAACTTCAGAGTGTGCAAAAGCACGCAGGTAAAACTCTTGTGCATGAAATAGATAAGAACTACCGAGTAATAATAAGTTCAAAACATTGAGCTTGTGTATTTTTCATGTTTTTTATACTGAGAATGCAAACTCAGCCATACAGTGAATAGTAAGTCTTGCCTAGAAGATATAACAGGTATACATTTAGGAAGAAACATCAGTGAAAAAAGGAGAGAGCACACGTTACTGTAGTGTAAACACATAAGAACTTGTAGAGAAGTCAGACTGAGGTTTTTTTCTTTCAGGTGGACACTCTGGATGAAATCATCCAACATGCCACTTCCAGATATTTCTAAGTTTTTGTTCAGAAGTTTCATTGCCTTTTGACTTTTATGTGTTGTACCCTGCGATAAATAAAGTTGTGGATCTTTGAATTGTACTTCTTTTTCATTTTTAACTGAATGTGATAAGCAAAAAGATAACGGGGAAACCTCACTTTCAATGTGTCTTACAAGTCATTAACCAGCAAGCACATCCTGGATAATCCTGGATGATCCTGGTTCCTGGATAATTGTTTCTCTAATAATTACTATAATATATAAAATAAACTTCATGTTGATTTAAGCATGGCCTGAAACTAGTGACAGAGCCCCTAAAGTCATCAGGAAGGTGCTTATTGAGGTTGTTACAGTATCAGAAAAATGAGGGCAAGTTTCACTCGGATGCCTCTTTGAAACAAGTGGTATCGCCCCCTGATGGCCATTAAAGGGAGACTTAAGCTTTCCTAAAAATTTGTTCAATAAAAATTTCAACATAAAAGCTGAATATAATACAAGAAAGTACCACTATTAAACAAAATAGTTTAAAACATCATCAGAATATTTTTAATGAGTGTTGTTTCATTATATCTAACCATGAAATGTTAGAGGCGGAAACTGAACCACTTCCTCTTTGTTATTGTATTTGGCCTGTATGAGCTGGGGCTAAGATTTCAGACACAGCAACTGTTCCCAGCAGGCCAAAGACTGAAAGATGTAACTGACAGACGAGGAAGATCTGTTATATTTTTACCCCACTGTGATCTGTGGCTGTAAGGTCACATATCCTCACATCATGTTGCTTAAGTCAGCGCCTCTCTACTTATATTAAAACAGTGAGTAACTACAGGGAGCTGAAGAATTAATCCCATAATGATAGGTCACAGACAGAGCCTGTGATTCTGGACGAGATAGAAGCATGAAAGACTGTGGAAAATGGCAGAAGGCTTTTGTTTGTGGAGGGAAAAAGGATTTGAGCTTGCATTGTGGCACAGCAGGAAGTGAACCTGGATTTGAAAGTAATGTGACCATGTTGCTTTCTGACGGCAGACAGATTGAAACTCACTGTGGGCATCTTTTTACTCAGTTTACGTGCCTCCGAACCTTTTATAGATACTGTGCAAAGTATCATTTAAGTTTGCTTTTCTTTCTAAAATATTTTTGTGTTGTAATTAGGATTTACTTATATTACCTATTTTTTTCTTTTAACAATAAAAACAGTAATAATTGTAATTTCATTCATTCTAAATGGGAGGCAAAGATAAAAGCAGTTTGATGGCAAGAAGAACAGTTACATATTGATAAGTCCTGAAGAAACAGCAGCCTATCACATGCAATGTTTTGTGACATTAGCAAACAGTAAGGTGCACCATACAGTCACCGACCACTGCATTAGGTACACTTCTTCAGTTGCTCATTGACACAAATATCTAATCAGCCAATTACATGATAACAACTCAGTGTATTTAGACGCGTTAAAGACATCCTGTTGAAGTTGAAGCATCAGAATTGGAAAGAAAGGTGATTTAAGTGACTTTGAACTTCTCATAGTTGTTCACGGCAGAAGGACTTGTGTTTCAGAAGGCTCTGAGTATTTCAGAAGCTGAAGCTGACCAACTAGGATTTTTCCACACATTCGTCTATAGCAGGGGTTTCCAATTTAAATGAGTTGTGGGCCACTGCTGGCACTGTCATCTCACTGAAGGGCCACTTTAGTGTTCAAATAGTACAAAAACAAACAAACAAACAAGAAAACACCCACAAACATTTCCAAAAATTTTGTGTTTTGTTTGTTTGTTTGTTTTGGGTTTTTTTTATGTTCAATATAATTACTTTTTCTGGGATTAATTAAGTATTCCAATTGAATCTGATTAATAAATGTCACATTGGGTGGCATTTTAAACTATTATCCTGGTTTTGACTTTAAAGACTTCTTTTGATATAATAGCACAAAAACAAACAAACAAGAAAACACCCACAAATATTTCCCAAAATGTAGTGGTTTTTTGTTTGTTTGTTTGTTTGTTTTTGGGGGGGGGGTTACACTTTTTTTTTTACATGAGCTCGACAAAATGAGCCAGAAGATTGGACAAATGTTGCTTTGTCTGACGAGTCTCCATTTCTGCTGTCACATTCAGATGGTTAGGGTCAGAACAACATGAAAGCAAGGAGCCATCGTGTCTTGTATCGGCAGTTAAGGCTGCTGCTGGTTGTGTTATGGTGTGTCATATTCTCTTGCCACACTTTGGGCCTCTTAGTATCAGCTGAACATCATCATCAAGCATCACAATTTAGTGGTGGGCGTTATGGACGGCCTTTGGGGGTCCAGAACTGTCCAAGAAGATCACTGTGCCCACTAATCAGAATTTTAAGCATGACCCTACCGGAAGTAGTGATGAGCACATTCTGCGCTCACCACGGTCAACGGCCCCGGTGTTTGGTGAGTTCATCAATCCACGAGAGAAAGTGTCTCTGTTTCCTGCTGTAAGATATGTGTTTTTGCACGTTTACTGCTGTGGCTACAGTGCACTATCCATGTATGAGTGTATCACTGTATGATGCATGGTGTGGCTTGAAGTGGCTAGTTTGTCCTTCGGTTTGTGGTGTAGCCTGTAAAGGTGGTCCACTGTATGCTTAGTACGCCTTTAGCACCGAGTCCTGTACTAATGTGTAAAATGTAAATTTAACGGCTCTTAAATGCATTTTAGTTATAACCTCTGTGTTTTTTACAGCATCTCTGGCTGTGTATTATTTTATTGCCTACATTGATCGTTGCGCCATTGCGGCTATGGCACTTTGCACAACGGCGCCGTGGCTTAGTTGGTTAAAGCGCCTGTCTAGTAAACAGGAGATCCTGGGTTCGAATCCCAGCGGTGCCTTTTCGGCGCGCCAGGAGAAAGCTTCATGCTGCAGTCGTGTCATTAAAGCACCTCTTTGTTAACAAACGCAGAGGGTTGATGTCAGGGAACATGGAGAGCTTATGAAACAGTTTAATTCTCCAGAATACCAAATCATGTGATTATAGCTGATTTTGGAAAATATTAACATTCCCACAAATCATCTGTAGGTCCATAAAAAGAAGAAATATCCAGTGACTGTTGATGTCAGAGGTCAAAGGAGAATGGCCAACTGCTTTGAGCTGATAGGTAGGCAAGAGTAATTTAAATTACTACTCACTACAACCAAGACATGCAGAAGAGTATCTCTGAACACAACATGTTGAACCTTGAAGCAGATGAGCTACACCAGCTGAAGATCACTGCTGAGTGTCAGCGGAGTGTAGGAAACTGAGGCTAAAATTCCCATAAACTCACTGTGATTGAGCGACAGGAGACTGACAAAATGTTATGGCTCAGGTTGATGGTGATGGTGTAACAGTAGGGGATATTTTCCTAGAGCACTTTGGGCCACTTCGTACCAACCATGCTTTACTGCAATGTCACCATACTTGAATATTGTTCCCGACTTGATCCCTCATAAAGGGATGGACCTGGCTGAAATAATCTCAAACTGATTTCCTGAACATAACAGTGAGTTCATGGTGTCCACCGTCACCAGTCGCATCATGGATTAACCTGGATTACAACCCACTTTACCTGGGTTGGGATCCATTAAAGTGGGTTGGAATCCGTCCTTTTTTAACCAAGGATTTAAATCCTTGGTTAATAAAAGAATCAATCTCTTCTTCAAAGAGTGATCTGGCCAAGAGGAGAACATAGACTGTAACAACAATCATACACAAATACAGCCGACACCTCGTACTAGCATGTGAACACGCAATAACATAGCAAGTACATTATGAAGGTTTTTTTTTTTCAAATGAGATGTCTGCTTATATGCTGTATTTTTATGAACTACCAGCAGTTCGGTTCAGCTCCTCATTCCAATCATTTAACATTATTCCCTGAATGAACACCATCACTACCAGTGTGTATTACACAAAAGCTTATACGGTTCTAATAAATATATTTTCCATTTTAAACTGCATTTATTTATTTATTTTTCTGTTCCTGAGAAAAAAAACAACAACTCCAAAATAAGATGCTGTTACACCCAGAGTATTTTGTGTGTCGCTGGTCCGCGTAGGTCTGCTTGCAGACCCCTGTTGGAAACGACAGAGGGCGTGCGTGTCATCGATCGGCAGAGGGGTTAGTGTGAGTGAGAGAGTGATTCTGAGACACTCAGGGGGACCTGGCTGCTGCTGCTGCCGCCGTGCTGCCCGCTCCTGCTGAGGGAAGAGGAGGAAACATGAGCTCCAGGAAAGGTGCGTATAACTCATCCTCCAACTTAGCTACGCTAACCCGCTCCTGGTGGCGGAAGTTATGGGTGTACGTAGCCCTTGAGGGTATGCTAAACGCCATCCAGCCTCGTTGATGATGTGTGATTGTTCTCTCTCCCCCACCGCCACCTTTCCTCCTACACCCTTCCCCGGACTCGTCTGTGCCTGTGAATGAATGTAACCTCGGACCGGCAGTGATGGCCATCCAGGCTAGAAAGAGGAGGCCGAAGGGGAAGAAGGATAAAGCGGGTCACCATCGCAGGTAAGCGGGGCGGCAGCGGGGAAGTGTGGACGTGAAGTGTTTGTTTACTGACAGCGGGTCCCTCTCTGTGTGACACAAGCGCTGCTGCCGGTGCGTCGGCGGTATGACCGTGGACATATGGCACGGGCTGGTATTTTCATCTACAGGCGGGGTCCCGTGGAGTGTTTCGAGTTACCACTTACATTATATGTGGACGGTGTGGTCCCCGGGTCTCCACCTGATTCCCCCAAAACGACTGGGTCCTGCACCGCTTACAGCCTGCACATACTCGTGTAGTTTATTTTGCATGCCTGAGCTTCCAGCACAGATGGTTTCTTGGTAGATTTTTTTAAAACTAGGGTTTCAAAGCGAGGATTGACAGATGTCACAGCTCAATTCCGTTTTATTTTTAGCGATGGCAGCACCAGACTGGCACGGAGTAAACGCCCACTTACATCGCCTAACCCGTGTGGGGAGTCTCTGGCATGGTGTTATGTAACTTTTCTTGGCTCTCCCGGTACGTTGTTTCCTGGTTTTGCCAGGCAGCTTTACGGTATGGGTGCACGCGCAGTTCGGCGTGATTTTGCCGGCGTGAGTAGTTGCAGCTGAGGCTGGCGTGCCAGCAGCGCAGTGGCTGCGTAAAGTGCATGTGAATTGGAGTGGAGAGAGTGGGGGGCTTTCTTCATGGCGTGACGCTATTGGAGCGACGTCACCAGCAGCCGAAGAAGGCATCAATTAGGTGATACCAACGGTGCAGACACCCCAGGGTGGCTGCTGGTGGGTGGAATGTGCTGGAATGTCCCAAACACCTGGACAGTCATAGTGAAACCAGATGTGCGCAAAAATAGACGTTTATAAAGGCAGATGTTCCAAGAAAATAGAGAACAGACTCCACAATTGTCTTGTAAATAAAACATGACTCATGCAATGGCCCTACAGGTGTCCTGTAATGGATGCTGGCTCGCCTTTAGCCCTTTAAATGCTGCAAAATGTAATGTAGTGGCTAATGGTGAAAGGACCTAAACTACCCCCCCCCACCCACACACACAACAACAACAACAACAACAACAACAACAACAAAAACCAACAAAAAAACCCTGAAAAGAACCCCTCCACTCTGTAGCTAGCATTGTAGCTAGCATTTTTCTTTGGAGGCTAATCAACAATAATATTCCTCAAAATTCAGTAGATCCCCCCGAAATATAAGAACATAAAAGCAGTATATTACAACATTGAGATACTACAACAACAAAATATTTGCTCAATAAACTGCTCAGACAATGCATTAGTTATTAAAAAATATTTGGCTATTATCAGCTCACTAACAGATGTGACAGCAGTTGTTTGTTTTAATGTAATGCGTTCCCCTCAAAAATACCTTCATTATGTGATATAAATTTCTAAATGAGTTTCTTTTATGTTTCTAAATGAATTTCTAAACGAACTACACTTTTATGGCATTGATATCTGGAAGAAACACAATATATAAACAAACTATTTATTTTAAAAAAAGAATTTAGCTGAGTTCCTTTGCACTCTGACCTGTAGAATATCCCTTTAGAGATGCTGCAGTTATGTAATACTTTCAATACTTGGCGATCAAGAAACCCTGACGCTTGATTAAATGTGGTTAATTTTTGATCACACTATGTGAAGTGTTAAGTGTGCCTCAAACATGTTTTGGCACATCTGTGCTTCAGTTTATGGTTACATATCAGATTACGCAGGTGCCAGTTCCTGAATCTGGCGTGCTATTATTGACTGATTTACTGCCAGCGCTTCTTTATTCAACTTTAGTTGTAAAAGTGTGAAAAGCATGTATTTTTACATGCTTACAGTAGGTTTTTGCATTTCTGATCATTTCTGATTTTAAAAAAAGCTGACATGGTGAAATTATTTTCACTAATGTAGTTTATCATACAGGTCATCAGTTCCACAGTTTATATTCTCTATCAGGGTGAATGATTGATAACAAGCTTTATAAAATATAGAACAGTTTTGACAGTATACGCTGCAGCTTGATGATGGTGTAGGGCAGCACATTCCTTTAGTACAACAGCCAAAAAAGAAAAAAAATGTATGAGCACAACAGCCTAAATAACAGGAAATGGCACAAAGTGCTTTGTATTTGATATCATCAGATTGCACTATACAGGAATATATTAGAGGAACAAAGAGTCAATAGGGAAATAAACACTGGGAATTACATGGCAAAGATAAACATAGGAATAAAATAAACATGGACTTTACACACCATTTAAAAAAAACTTTGAACGAACTAAAAGCAAGGATTAAAAAACCATGAGTCTTTAAATTCAGATTATTATAGATATGATTTGAAATGGGATATTAGTCCAAAGTCTGGAGGCAGAATGTGTTATAAGCAGATCAGAAATGTAATGTGGGGCTAACCCATTAATGGCTTAAAAAACAAAGAGTAAAAATGTAGAAACACCTCTTTTTTTCACTAGTAATCAGCAAGCCAGAAAAGATGTTCTGCATTATAGTTGTCCAGTCGAGAAATAATAAATGCATGGATTATTGTGCTGAGGTCTACTGGGGATAACAATGACTTTACTTTTGCAATATATCTAAGATGGTAAAAGCTGCCTTTCACAGGCTTTTTTCTCTTGTTTATTAAAATTCAATAAACTGTCAATAAAACACGTAGATCTGTAAGCTGATTTTGAAAATTAGCACACAGAAGACCAAGAGTAGAGCTGATACTGGAAACTAAGCTGGTCCAAAAATGATCACTTCACTTTTCTTGTCATTCATCTGAATGATATTCATTGGCATCTAGGATCTGACGTTCTCCACACAGCTGAACAGGTTCTTCAACCAACCATTCTTTGTGAAACGAGTAGGTAAGGTCATCTGCATAACAGCAAGATGCAGTCTTATATTTTTTTTAAATCGAGCCAAGGGAAAGCATGTGTAAATAAGAGAGGTCCCATAGTGGAGCCTGTGTGGATGCAATAGGGTACTGGAGCAGAGGTAGATGAGCAATTTCCTATCTTGACTGACAAGCTTCTGTCTCTTAAATAAGAGCTAAATTGTTTTATAAGATAAAAACTAAACGAAAGAAGGAGCTCTGTTAAAAAAAATTGAGCTGATTAAGTACAAATGTTAATAAAAAGAGCAAGATTACCATAAATATTAATAAAATGAGAACAGATTTTGCTAAAGGAAAATATTTGAAAGCGAAATAAAACAAGGAAATATTAGAAGGTATTAAAGTGAGTCAGCAAACAAAGTGTCAGAGTGAAATTAAAATATATAAATGTAAACTGTTTGATCCCTGACGTCTGTCAGAAGCAGTTATGTCTTTATCTCACTGTCTGTGTCTCTTGATCTTGTGCTCTTTCTCTCACGTGGTGTTTTTAAAAAAAATAGGTCACACATGCATCCATCCATTTATTCATACAACCATTTATCCATCCCTGTAATGAGATGCTTATTCAGGTCAGGGTCACAGTTGAATCAAAGTAAGCTCATACACAGACTCTCAAGCACAATCACAGTCTCTCTCTCGGTTTCTCTTTGGTAGATTTACACTCCTGTTTAAATGGCGTTTTCATGGACTTTTATCCACATCCATTCCCATCTTCTGCCTTCTGCCGTTTGAGATGGGCTTTTCTGTTTAGAAACCACAACAACTCACATACACTCACAAACACACCTTTTATCTTGAGCCTTAATAACGTAGATAAATAGTAAAATTTCATTTGTGCTACTTTTATGTAAGCAGTGCGTTGTCACTTGACTTTGATGTCTTTGAAATTTAAGCAGATACAGCGTCCTTTGTTTGAACTAATTCAAGTGGAAACATAAGCAAGGACAGGAAGGTTTGTATAAAAAGGACCCAGCGGTGAGGTTACGAGGTGCTTATGGTTGTACCAAATTTGAAACTGAGACCAAGTATTCAGCACAGTGATCCACAATCAGGGCAGCATGGTGTTTAACACTGTTACCTTACAGCAAGAAGGCCCTGATGTTTAAATCTGCCATCTGGCCTTTCTGTGTGGAGCTTGCATGTTCTCCCCGGATACTCTGGCTTCCTCTCACAGTCCAAAGACATAGAGTTAGGTTAATTGGTGATTCTTAATTGCCAACAGGTGTGAATATGAGTGTGAATCCTCTCTGTCTTATTTTTGTGACAGAGGGGTGACCTGTCCAGGGTGTACTCCGCCTCTCAGCCTATGGCAGCTTGGATAGACTACTACTGTTTCCGTCTAGCTGCTGGTGGGGTTTTCTCTGTATCAGTCTGTGTCCTTAAGAGAAACATGACACTTTCAAGAAATAGATGTCTGGGTTATCCTGTTAAGTTGTCTGTCTCTCTGTCCGTTTAACACTGCCTGTTAACATTGCGAATGAGCAAGACTGATAACATTTACTGCTTATCTCCCACATTAACCTTATCATTTTATTATTAGCCAAAGCTGCTAGCTGCTACCTTAATGATAACAGACAGCTGGTGTGGCTACAGGGTCACTGCTATTAGTGTTGTTAACGCCAACTTCTTCAGCTGCTAGTGAGATGAGGGGCCGTGTGTCTCCCTCTCTGGTGGTAAAAAGAGTAAAAAGGGACAAATATACTTATAATCAAAAGAGTGTTAATTATTATTATTTATTATTATTGACATAAGTATTTGTAGGGTCCCTTAACGGCTGCACTGCAACGTTTTACAGCCTTTATTATGAGATTATGAGATGTATTCATGCATTTTCTTTGTGTGTTTCACTTGATGCACAGGAGTGTTTTTTGCACTTTCCACAGATCAGTTATTAGTTATAAGGCAAGGCTTAACTTTTTTTTTTACTATGACAGTCTGTGGGGCATTATGAGTTAGCCGTCTTTATTTATTAATTATTTTTGGCAGTCATAATCGCTGGCAAATCAGATGCAAAGTCGACCCTTTCTGTATCTTAGCCTTATAATATGCAGACTGAAATAAGTAGTAGAATCATTGTCAGTCTTCTTAAATAAATTAATGTTGTTCTTAAAGATGTTTGTGATCA